GGAGGGAGGGGAAAAATGAGGACCTAATGCCAGGGGCTTAAGTGGAGAGGAAATGTTTTGAGAATGATGAGGGCAATGAATGTACAAATGCACTTTACACAATTGATGTATATATGGGTTGTGATAAGAGTTGTATGAGCCCCTAATAAATGATTAAAAAAAAAAAAGAACCCCGAGCCAGAGCATGGAACAGAGTGATGGACTTCCCAGCCCATGGAAGAAGTCAAGCTGAGTCTCGTGTGCAGGCGGCTGGCTTGTGGAAGGGGTGCCTGTGGGCACCTGATTGGGGAAGCTGGACGTGCTGACCCACAGAGCTGAAACAGGGCCTTCAGACAGAGGCTTACTGGAGCGGGGATGCCTCTGGGCACTTAGTTCAGGAAGCTGGGTTTGCTAATCTAAGGAGTATAATCTAAACGTCTTCGGGTTGAGGCTTATAGCAGAGTGGTATGCCCTTTGGGCATCGTTTAGCAAACTTGACCGAACTTTGCAACATGTCTTCATGACATCGTTAACAACTTCACCTTGAGCATTTCTCCGTGCCATTATAACCTGTTAACTTCCTTAATGAACCTTTTAATCATTATTTTTGTATGAGCTCTGTGTAGCTGTTGCAATGGCTATTGAAAGCCAGAGATAAAAATAGATAGCATTAAGTAGGACAGTGTGGCAAGGATGCAAGGCTGTATGTGATATACTCTAGACATGTTGGTGGGCAAGACCAGCCCTTGGAGAAGGGTGTGCTTGGTGGAGTGGAGGGGCGGCGAAGGAGGGGAAGGCCCTCAAGGAGGTGGGCTGCCACAGTGACTGCGGCAATGGGCTCAGGCACGGGAGCCACTGTCAGGCAGTGTTTCCTTCTGTTGTACACGGGTCACTATGAGTCGGAACCCACTCAAGGCACCGACACAGGAAACAGACAGCCTCATCTTTCTCCTCTGAATGGCTGGTGGACTTAAACGGTCAATCTCCTGCTAACAACGGAGCCACCAGGGCTCCTTTAAAAGCGCCTACTTAACAGGGTTCTTGGCGGCATTGAGTGAGTGAGTGAGTGAGTAAGTGAGTGAGTGAGTGACTGTGTGTGTAAGCTACCAAAGGCGCTTGACTTCCTGCTGTTCCAACTCTCCCACCTGC